GTAAAAAGAAATACATCTAACTCCAACAGCTACTCTATTTTAGCAATTCTAGCATATTATTAAAATATTCAATACATTTAATAAAATATTATCTATGTCTGTTATATAAAGTTTTTAAGATTTCTCTAAATTTAGAGATTTGCATATTCCCCTCTCTATCCCTTTCTGTATTCATTTTTTTGTTTTACCATACAGTATCATATACATGTTGAAGCACAAAACTCTCATAAACCAGCAAAAAAATTATTATAACATAGTTATTGGAGATGTTCTTAGATATTCGATGGATTTCTTGCAAGGACAAATTTCGTAACATTAGACCAAAAGTCGGTTATTAAAATTCGGTGCAACTTGTCCAAATTTAACAACAAATTTGATACCTAAGATGTAAAGTTTTAAACATTTAAGTACTCGGGTAACAGTTGAAGCATAACCGGTTACCATGCTAATGTGGTGAGTGATATGGTATCCGATTAATGTTTGAGCAAATAATACTGAGATGGATATCACATTATTCACCACATTAACATGGTAACCAGTTAATGCTTCAACCGGTTAACCGGATACTTAAATATTTAAAACTTTACATCTTAGGTACAAAAATGAAAGTTTTAAAAATATGTTACTCAAAATAAGAATCAAGTTAAAGTACGTAACTATTTTATGCAATTTACCTTATTTAAAATATAGGCATCGTTTGTCTAATAGTAGAAAAGTTTCATAAAATTACGTCTAAATTAAACGTTACTAAGGGATGTTATGTGATTATTTAAAAAAAAACTTGATTAATTATTAAAGAGTAAACTACAAACTTGGTCCCTATGGTTTGTCGAAAATAACACTTTTGGTCCTTGCATTTTCAAAAATAACAAGATGACTATCATGGTTTACAAAAATGTCTAGTTTGGTCTCTTTCTCTAACAAATAGTTATAAATTCCATTAAATGATAGATATTTTCATCATTTTATTTATTTGTTGTCTTTTATCTAATCAAAATCAGTTTTATATTTTTGATCCTTATGGTTTTTGATCTATTAAAAAATAAAAAAGCGAGAAAAGGACGAAAATGACCCTCATTTAATGGAATTTTTTAAACGGTTTTTAAAAAGGACCAAACCTTACGTTTTAACAAACCTTGATGACTATGTTATAATTTTGAAAGTACAGAGATGTAAAGTGTTATTTCAACAAACCACAAGGACCAAACTCGTAGTTTACTCGTAATTAAACCATCATCCAAAATAGTGACGGCCAAAAACCAGTCCAGACTCGGCCGGTCCCAATCGGGTCTGATCTACCTTGTAACTGATTGTAACCGGTCCCAGTCGATAATGTGATGACCGGTCAAGGTTAAGTGTAACCGGTTATGGGGGTACTAGTCCCAACCGGTCCTTAACCAGTTCCGGTCCCACATATCGGACAAAAATTGCAACCGGACATAACTGACGATCCCTTAACCGGTCATCACCGGTCCCCGTCGGTCTTGGTACTTAGCCGGTCCCAGGCCGGTTTGGCCATCACTAATTGAGAAAGCTATATGATTTCAAAAGCCCAAAAGCTCACAATGCACATATGGGCCTCATTTCATAAGCCCATTTACATGATAATATTCATGGTTACGGTTACCAACCTATTTATCAAACAAAACATATTAAAAATAAAATAAAATTATCGATAAAAATATAAGAAAAAGCTACAACAAGACATTGATTAAGCACAAGAATGGGGTTATATACTATTATCATCATCATTATTATATAAGGCTAAAAATCGTGTGAGAAAGAAAGTTAAAGTGAGAAACATAAAAAAAATTGGACATTTGATCACTCATGAATCATGTCTAATATGGGTATTGATCTGGTGCATGTCATCTAGGTGCATCACATCCTAATGTGTATTCAAAAGTAAAAAAATTTCTTACGATTTTCACATTAACTCTCATTGTCATCAGAACTCAATCATCTATACAAGATTATAAAACATTTGATAAAAACTCTTAAAAAACCATTTTTATGCATGAAATATTGTTTATTGATTCATATTACTTAAAATCTAATATTACAAGTAAATTGTGTGTAAGTACAACATATTAAAGCTTCATGTTTGAATTCATGTAACTAATTCCAGATAAACATAATCAAATAGAGGATAAACGTCTCATTTTAAATATAAAAAACTAAAATATCATCAAGAAAACTATTGAGTTCTAACAAAATACTTAATTATTATATTTGTAAAAAATTATATTATTAAACCTAAAATAAAAAAATGAATTAAAGAAATACACAAAAAAGAGAAATTTTAAATAGTTAGTCTGGTACTATTATCATTTTAAAAAAAATTATGATATCTTCATATTTATATTTTATTCAAAAATAAAACCATTATCGTTTTCTCAAAACCACATAAAACCATATTATAACATCGACTAAGACAAAAAAAAATGAAACACTAAAATCGAGATATATCTCGCTGCATTGTGCGAGTACCCTTCTAGTATTATATAAATCTTAAGATTTATAAATTTGTTAATAACTGAGGCTAACTTATCCAGGTCGTGAAATGTCATATTCAATTAATCGGCTTAATGATTATTCGTTTATTCATTAAATAATCTTTATGTTGTTTACGTTTTAAATCACCTTATTTCAGATATAAAAAGCGATACAACCCCGTTTACTACCTTGGTTGACCAGCTTACGCAACCATGTTTTAACTAATCATTAACTTGTAATTTTATTATCAGTTTAATTTTTTGTACGTAATTTAATGAAACTATTTGACTGATAACTAAATTCTTTAAAACGAAGAATCAAAAGTCAAAAAATTTAAAGGAAATTTACTTTAATCTCCAACAGTTTCTCTATTTTAGAGATTACAAATATTAATTATATTATTAAAATATTTAATACAAAATAAAATAAAATAGAATAAATAATAATTTATTTTTACTGGGTAATCATTTTTGAAGAATTCTTCAAATTTAAAGAACTTCACTCCGTTCTCTCTTACTTTTTCATCTTGGAAAAGTTTAGAAGATTCTCTTGAAGCAAAGATCCTCAAAATTTTATTTTAAAGAACCTGTTGAAGATGTTTTAAATTTTAGCAACTTAATGAACTTAATGGGACTTACGAATTATTTGATCAACTATATATAATAGTTTGATAATGATTTATGATATAGAAAGTGACTTATTCAATAAGTTTATAGAGGGAGCTTTATGCAAAAGCAAAGTTTTTCCAAACCATTTCCTCCCAATTACAATACATGATCCTTCCATTTATTAAAAAACTCTCTCAAACAAAAATCTTTTCAATTTTATATGTTTAGATGAATCAACACATACAACTTTATTCATACAAGAGTTAATGAAAAACCAACAAAAAACCATAAGGTCCCGTGTGGTTTGCAGTATTGGATTGGATTCGTAGGGATTTGGAATTGACTTTTCATTTCAATTCCATGTTTGGTTTGAAGGATTTCCTAAATTTGAAATCCCACAAACATAAGATTTTAAAATCCCATGGGATTTGTATCCCAGAGGATTATTAGATTGGTATCCCATAAACATAAGATTTAATTAATATTCTAATTCATCAAATATCTATAATAATATCAAATATATTTTATAACAAAATATATTATTAAAAAGTTTTTATCAAGACGATCAAAATGACACCAATATCAAATACCTAAAAAAATCTAAAAATCGTATAACATACTGATTGTCTTGCATTTTTTTTTTAAATTCAGTAATCTTTATTTTCATAAAATACGACGTGGACTTTAAAATGACAAATCAAATGAGATGCTTTTATATAACATTCTAAATAGATGGGGGATAAATATCTATAATAAAATCAAATATATTTTATAACAAAATACATAATTAAAAGTCTCGTCAAGACGATCAAAATAACAGCAATATCGAATACGTAAAAAAATATAAAAATCGTATGATATATTCATGTCTTTGTATTTTTAACAAATTGATTTTTTTTTGTATCTTTGTCATTATATTTTTGTATATTTTATCATTTTTCATTTATGAAAGACCTTAAACAATGTAAATTTTGGGACGGACCCTTTTCAAAATCACGCATTTAGGGGGTTTTTGGGATTGCTTATTTGAAACAAGTTATGCTTTTCTACAAAAATCCATATCAACTTATTATTAGTTAGAACGGTTTAATTTCTTCGAAAGTTTATTATTACCAGTTTGACACCGGTATAAGCTCTTTATCCAAATACTCAAAAATGCTTATCACCTCTGTTACACCGTAATAAGTTAATAAGTTATTTTAATAAACAATCTCAAACAAAAACTTTAAAAATCAGAATTTTAAAAATGAGTTTTGTTAAAATAAGTGTTCTTGAAGACTTATGCAATGTGGATGATTCCCATTTTGAGTGATGAAGGAGTATAAATAGGGATGAATTGAAGGAGGATAATAATGGAGGAAGGCGTTGACTAACCTTCAACCTTAGTCAATGGAATTGTGAAAATGGAAGTCAAAATTCGTCGTCTTTTTAGCAGTCTCTTTCACCCACGCCCTTTCTGTACATCAATATTTTACAGTTTCATGAACCCCAGATTGAATAATAACTACTTCCCGCCATCTTAGCCGTTGGTGATCACAAGCGTGATTCCATGGCAAAAAGGGAGCCTCTAGCTTTATTCTCCTAACCCTCATCTCCTCCTTTCTATAAACCTCTATTTCACCCATCTTTCTTTTCACGTTTTTTCTTTAATTATATATACGCAATTCTACCAAACCCATATCTTATTTTCCACCATTTCTGTTTGTTTGATTGTTTGTTTGTTTACTTGCTTCTTTCTTTTTCTTTTTCTTTTTCCTTTTTGGTTTTCCTTTTTGGGATTTTGATATTCGGCCTTTATTGTAGGAGATGATTAGCTAAAGAGATTGTCCAACTTTACAACCAACATCTGCCCACCTGCAAATTATCCCTTGTGTGATTTTGATTTGCATTTTTTCTTCTGGAAACCCATTTAGATTTCTCTTGAAAATGATCGGGACTGTGTCTCTTGGTTCTTCCATTGTCATACTGCGAAATGGGGCTGGGAATTTGTTGGGTAATGACAAGAATTACCCGTGGTTATCAAAGAAGAAGATCAACTGTTTGTTGTATTGCCAAAGTGAAGGGAATATGAATACGACCAATGGGGTGTCATCTGTTTTGACCAAAAGATCAGTCTTGGTGAACGCAGATCCTGGAACAGCTCTTTTGGATACTGAGAGCTTGGTTTTGGCTCCAAATGGGAATGGGCAGCCTGATAGTTGTAATAATACTGCAACTAAAGATTTACTTCCCTATAATGGTGCACAGAATGCATCTATGATGGATATGAATGAAAATGGTATTGGAATTGTGAGTATACTCAAAGGAAAAAGGTTCTTTGTTACTGGTGCAACTGGGTTCTTGGGTAAAGGTACATCTCTTTTTGTTCTATGCATGGTGCTCTTGATTGTATAAACCAAATGTGAATGTATGTGTGTATATATATCACAATAAACTCAAAGACCCATATCATAAAATCTCATATTGAGTTGGGATTGTTCAGTTCATTTTCCATCAAGACCTGTAAGGATAAATATGTCTGTATTGATAAAGTTGTCTGTATGATAGAAGGTAATTTTTTTTTTCTGATTGGTGTGCTGAATAAACAGTTTGAATGTCAGAAATGACCATTTTACCCTCAGTTCATTTATTCACAAGTTGAACATTCAACAAAAATATGTACCAAAAAACCCAAATCAATAGATTCAAAGAACAACATCAGTTCATGTTAAGCAGCAAGATGGATATGGCAAGTTTCTTGAAGTTAATGATGTCTATTACTATATGAGTTCCTTTATATATTTTATAACTAAACTCAAAGGGGTTCTTTAGATTAATTATAAAGGGAAGTGTGTATTAAAAGGTTCGGAATTTCGAGAGAATTTGTGAATATAATAAGAGATTTCAAGAAAATATGTGAATATGTCTTGATTGAATTATCTTTTTGATTTTAAATCGGTGATTAGTTTAAGGGTTTGGAAATGTAAATATTCTTGAATAGCTAACTAGTTTCACCTCTGCCTTTAACCAACTTTTATCATATTCATTTGGTTTTCAATAGAGAAATATTTGATCCCATTTCAATTTGTTGTTGCATTTCCTAGCACTCTTGTGCATGCAAATAATGTTCAACAAGCAGTAAATTTTGCTCATTTTGGTGTCTAAAAGATCGATTATTTATGGATGTTAGCAACAGTTTCGAATTGTTCACCTTTTCTAACTCGAGTGCTTTATAAATTGTTCAGTACTTATAGAGAAGATTCTGCGCACAGTGCCTGATGTGGGGAAGATATATCTCTTAATCAAGGCAAAGAACATGGATGCTGCCATGGAAAGATTGAAAAATGAAGTATGCAGTTCTTTTTCTTATTTTTTGTTCTTATAGGAGTCCTGCTGCCATTTCTACATGATCTATCTCATTATCGTTCAGTAGTAAAAATTAAATTAATTTAGTATTGCATTACAGATAATCAATACTGAACTTTTCAAGTCTCTCCAACAAGCTTATGGGAAATCATATCAATCTTTCATGTTAAGCAAGCTGGTTCCCGTGATTGGGAATGTTTGTGAATCTAACCTTGGGTTAGATGAGGATGCAGCGGAGGTGATATCGAAAGATGTTGATATAATAGTGAATTCTGCAGCTAATACTACTTTTGATGAAAGGTTAATCTCCTAATTACCAGTAAATTAATTGAAAAAATTGGGAAGAAAACCATAAAGATTCACTGAAAGTTATCAAACGGAATTGCAGATATGATGTAGCTCTTGATATAAACACCGGAGGGCCTAGTCGCCTTATGAGCTTTGCTAAGAAGTGCAAGAAACTAAACCTCTTCCTGCAAGTTTCTACTGGTAAAATAATGAACTCCAAAAAGGAAATTTTCGATTTTAGAAGTTAGATGGCGTTTTTGTGGGAATATGTGGAATTCCATTAGATTACTCTCTAAAAGAGACTTTAGGAGAGAAAGGAGGTTCCAACATATATTGAGGAGATACAGTCCAAGTTTAGTTGATGTGTGATTCCAACCCGCCTCTTCAATGGAGGCTAGATGGTCGCAGATTGTCCCAGAGTGTCGAGAGGGGGCTCGACGGCCACAACTTGTCCCAGAGTGTCGACTCCCTACCTTGACTCTGATACCATGTTAGAATATGTGGAACCCCAATGGATTACACTCTAAAAGAGTGTTATCGGAGAGTAGTCTAATAGGGTTCCATAGACTCTGGTACCATGTGAGAATATGTGAAACCCAATAGATTACACTCCAAAAGAGTAATCTAATGGGGTTCCACATATTCTTACAGTTCTTCCTTGACTCTAATACCATGTGAGAATATACGGAACCCCAATCGATTACACTCCAAAAAAGCGTTTATGGGAAGTAGTCTAAAGGGGTTCCACAGACTATGACATCATGTGAGAATATGTGGACACCAATAGATTACACCCCAAAAGAGTCTTTCTGAAGAGTAGTCTAAGAATACGTGGAACCCAATAGATTACACCCCAAAAGAGTTTTTCTGGAGAGTAGTCTAAGAATATGTGGAACCCAATAGATTACACCCCAAAAGAGTCTTTCTGGAGAGTAGTTTAATGTATCCCACATATTCGTACAGTTCTTCCTTTTACAAGTGTTGGTTAAAGTTGTATATATTTCTTACCCTCTTTTTGTTGCTTGTAGCATATGTTAATGGACAAAGACAAGGAAGGATAATGGAAAGGCCGTTCAATGCAGGCGAAAGTATAGCAAGGGAGAGCCTCATCTATGGCAATCAAGAAGTAATGACTATTCCAAAGTTGATTGTGGAAGATGAAATAAAACTGGTTTTGGAATCAAAGCAAGCTTTCGGAGAAAATGCAGTTGCTCAAAAGCTTAAAGAGTTTGGATTAGAAAGGTATCATGGATTTGCATCTAATATGTGTCTTCTTTCTTTTGTACCCACTCGTTACTTTTTCTTATTTTTTCCGTCTATGTTCACCATGTGTTAGTCTTAGTTCTTGCTACTTGTTTGCTCACACTCTTGCAAAAAGCCGTAGGTCTTCAGGAAACAACCGCTCTACTCTTTGGAGTAGAGGTCAGGTCTGCATGCCTCACATACACCCAGACCCTACTTTCGAGTGGGATTTCCTGGGTAGGTTTGGTTTGTCTTCTTTCTTCTTTGCTCACTTGTAACCCCCTACAAAATGTATTTATGTTCAATTTTGTTATTTAACCAGGGCAAAGCTATATGGGTGGCAAGACACATACGTTTTCACCAAGGCGATGGGTGAAATGATGATCAATAAAATGGGAGGAGACATACCCATAGTCATAATCCGGCCTAGTGTCATTGAAAGCACTTACAAAGAACCTTTTCCGGGATGGATGGAAGGAAATAGGTACATTTTTCCTAATTACTGAGAATTTGATTTTCACAATGAATCATCTTAGAGTCTCACATCAACTAGACTTGAACACTTTCTCTTTTATTGTATGCTGGAACCTCCCTTCTCTCTTCAAGGGCTCTTTTCGAAAGTAATCTAATGGGGTTCCATATATTCTTATATGGCATCAGACCCAAGGTCTACCATCGGGGACATCTTTACCCATCTAGCCTCCGTTGAGGAGTGTGTTAGAGTCCCACATTAGCTAAACTTGAACACTTTCTCTTCAATATATGTTGGAACCTCCATTCTCTCCCCAATGGCTTCCACATATTCTCACACGGTATCAAAACCAAGGTCTACCATCAGGGACATCTTTGCCCGTCTATCCTCTTTTGGAGGGGGCGTGTTTAGAGTCCCAAATCAGCTAGACTTGTACACTTTCTCTTCGATATATGTTGGAACCTCACTTCTCTCTTCAAGGGGTCGTTTGAAAGGTAATCTTTTGGGTTCCACATATTTTCACAAATCAAAAAGCCCTCATTATAAATTACATTGAAGTTCAAGATTTCTTGATTTCTCTCTCATTTGTAGGATGATGGATCCAATTGTACTTTACTATGGAAAGGGACAACTTAGCGGATTTCTTGTTGACCCTAATGGCGTTCTTGATGTTGTAAGTCCTTTTCTTGATGAAGCTCATGTTTTCGTGTCTTAAACTATTTGATCTTGTTTCGTGAACCACCCCCACTAAACTGTTGCAGGTTCCAGCCGATATGGTGGTGAATGCCACTTTGGCAGCCATGGCAAAACACGTGACAGGTGGCAAATCCGAAGAGAATTACGTATATCATATAGCTTCATCGGTAGTGAACCCGTTGGTCTTTAAGGATCTGGCAAGGCTGCTATATGAACACTTCAATTCTTCACCATGTTTGGATTTAAAGGGCAGGCCTGTTAATGTGCCTATCATGCAACTTTACCGATCCATGGAAGATTTCTCCGCTCATCTCTGGAAAGACGCGATTAATAGAAGTGGATTGACGGCTTCGGGATCTACGAACAAAGGGAAGTTTTCACTTAAACTTGAAAATATTTGCAGAAAATCAGTGGAGCAAGCAAAGTATTTGGCCAATATATACGAACCGTACACATTTTATGGCGGAAGGTAACATCTTTTGCATACATGCCTCTCTCTTTAACACACTTTTAACAAACCGGGGTCTCACGGAAACAACTGCTTTACTCTTTGAGGTAGAGATCAGTTATGCGTATATCTTACCCCCATGGACCCCACCTTTAGGTGGGATATACCGGGCACGTTTGGATTGACTTCTTGGATATTGTTACGTGAATCTTGTTGATGAGATAGTCAAAGTTTTTCGATATTTATGAATATGCGTGAACCCAATTGGTCTTGAATGAACACTTGACTCCAGAGTGAGAAATTTTCATTTTCGTGAGAAGATGAAAAAAGGGGAAAATGTTGTAACACTCACATAATATAAAGGTTTTTTCACTGGTCTCACGACAAATCTTCACATGATATAAAGGTACCTTCGCCATTTCTACAAAAAAGGGGTTATTCTTATCAAAACCTGACCCTTGACTCCTAATATAGAGTTCCGCGGGTCATATCTATCGAGTGTTATGCCCAACAGTAGGCAAAGTTCTTTGGTGTTCATGAAAATACACGAGGGCAATTTGGTCCTTTTAGGTCTAATTGAGTATATCTATTGAGTGTTATACCCAACAATAGGCAAAGTTCTTCGGTGTTCACGAAAATACACAAGGGCATTTTGGCCTTTTTAGGCCTGGTTGAGTTTCGCTGGTCATGTCTGTCGAGTGTTATGCCCAACAACAGACAAAGTTCTTCAGTGTTCACGAAAATACATGAGGGCACTTTGGTCCTTTTAGTCCTAGTTGAATTTTGCTGACTCATGTCTATCGAGTGATATGCCCAAATAATAGGCAAAGTTTTTCGATGTTCACGAAAATACATTAGGGTAATTTGGTCTTTTTGGGCTTAGTTGAGCATATATCTTCTTTCTTATCATGAATCAAGATCAAATTTATGCATAACAATGCACTTGCAGTGTGAGTTTCGCAAATACCACACACATATAACACTCGAAAACGTAAAGTTTGAAGCTTTATTCATTCATATTTTTGCAGGTTTGATAACAGCAACACTCAAAAATTAATGGGGATGATGTCTGAAGAAGAAAAAAGGACATTTGGATTTGATGTGGGGAAGATAGATTGGAGAGATTACATCTCAAATGTTCATATTCCAGGGCTAAGGAGGCATGTAATGAAGGGAAGAGGAATGTGCACCTAAATTAACCATATACAAATTAATTAACACAAATTATATATATATATACACACATATATATATATATACATATATATATATATTATATTATATATATGCATATTTTATATAGATATCAAACCTTATTGTAATAAATTATTGTGATTTACCTTTTTATTATTTTCTTTTCAAATTAAATGGGTTAGAACCCTGATTCGGTTTTACTAAATATTACAGTGTATGAGATCAAAGGTATTACTGATATTTGTTTTCAATGTTCTGACAGTTAAGAAATGTGATTCTGTATAAAATGGGTTCACTTACATGTGTTACCATGTGATATGTGGTATGTAAAGTAAGCGGTCAATTTCATAATTAGGTTAGTAGTTACGTACCATCTTTTTCTTTCATATAGTTCTTGTTTTTTTAGGTTCGATAACTTTTACCATGAGCTACGAATGGTGAACTACAGTACATCATACGCATTTCGAAGATCTTAGCTCCGCTATTATGGAGATATGCGCATATCTCCATGACACACCCACTCGACCTACATGTGAACCTTAGTACGATTATGCAAAAATCCATATCTTTATGCGATTATTGAAGATTTTTCTCAAACCTTCTTGTATCATTCAAACCGTATCTCGAATCCGTCCATCTCTTAATCAAAGATCTAATATTATTATACAAGTGATCGGCTTGTCTGTGTTGAGTTTAATCTTCAACTCGAATGACTAAACTGAAGAGTTAGCAAAAAGCGATACGCCAAGTGTTACATTTTGACTCTCGAGTTTCGCTTACACCTACATCCAAATGGGAGATTAGCTAATGGTTAAAAGAACAGATATAATGGAATTACAGAAGTACTCAAAGTTAAATTGCATAAAACTAGAATTTGTGACTGTGGTCACATACTCGCCACAGTGGTGAAAAAAAAAATGAAAATGCAGAAAATAAAATTACAACTAGTTAAAGGAAAATGCAAGAGTAACATAATGCGCCTCAACTACTAATTCACGTCCAAACATGCTCTAAAATGTGGTGGTAAAAAATATGCAGAAAATATTTCTTGATGATGCAGCTGTTCGTCCTAGTGGTGACACTGTTGCCACAATGGTGTACCAGCTCCAAAAAACACATACACTAATCAAGCTACAAACTTTTATCCTAAACAACTCCAAATGAAAATAAATAAATAGAAAGAGAAATCACGAACACGTAAAAGAAAAACGCACTAAAATAGAATAAAAAGACTCACTAATAAAGTGTAAATAACATTCAAAATGAGAGTTATCAGAAGACAACTTATAAGACACTTCAAACTCATAAGTACTTGAGAATAAGCACTTCACAATCTTTTGAATAAGACTTCGAGTCTTTTGAAGAGGACTCGTAGACTTCTCAATAACTTTAAGGTTAAAAGGCTTATTGTCTTACGATTTTCACTTTAAGACATTCAAAAACTCAATTTTTGCAAACACTTCTTTTCTTAAAATCCATAGAGGTTATACAAGTTTGTACTATACAATATACACCTCATATCCCGTGTTATAGCTTAACTAATAACCCATAAGGGTTAACTGGTAGGTTTACATTATGTTCTGTATGTATAAAACTATCAGTGTGGATTAATTTGTCGGTATAAATTGGTTGAGAGATTTTTTCATAGATAGGAGGAGCAAAAGTTTTAATTGGAAATGACAGGTTTGAAAAAAAAATTGTCTTTTTATAAAAGCTAATGTATAAGTCATTTTCTATATCATTAAGCCACTACTAAACAGTTATGCATAATTGACCTAATAAACTGTGAGTTCCATTAAACTCATTAAGCTACTAACAAACAGACCCATACTTTCTTATGAATCTAATTACAAACTTGATTATTTCGAATTCAACTTGCAATAATCATTTTTACAGAACATCTAAACAGATAAAACTTTTATGTTATAAACCTCTATAATTAAAGTTTTTTTTTTTGGACGTTTTTGACAATCAAGCCGTCAATTATGGGGCACTTTTGCAAAAAAAAGAAGTTGCACCAAATACTTAAAACTTTGTATTTGCTCCCTTAACTATTTAAAGATGTCAAAAATGCTCCCTAGATTTTGAATCCTGTTATGGCTGTTGAAATATTTGTTGGGCTAAAAGGCCCAATCTTACACCCCTTTTCATGCCATGGTGAAACAAAATCCATTAGAAGATTTTGATTTTTAACGAGATACGGTGTTCACGAGAAGAAATTGTTGACGAAAATAACTTGAAATCGGTTACGAATCACATTTGGTGAGAATTTTCTGTGAATTTGATCTGATCGGAGCAAAATTGTGGATCTAATTAGGGATTTCGAGATCTGCCACCGACAACCACCACCATGAGAGTGGCAGGGCAACAACCACCACCGTCATCTCCGTCAACATTAACAGCAAAAGATGCGGAGTCTCTCTTCCGTACCAAACCCATATCCGAAATCCGAAATGTCGAAGCTGCAACCCGAAAACAGATCCAAGACAAGAGCGAAGAGCTCCGGCAGCTTGTGGGCAATCGTTACCGGGATCTCATCGATTCCGCTGATTCAATCGTCAACATGAAGTCGTCTTGCCACTCAATCTCCGATAATATATCCGCCGTTCACGATGGTATTCTTCATTCCCTTTCATCAACCACAATTAACCCAAATTCTGCATCGTCAAACCCAGCTAGGGCTCGAATTTACGGCATTGCGTGCCGTGTTAAGTATATAGTTGATACTCCTGAGAACATCTGGGGTTGCCTGGACGAATCGATGTTTGTCGGTGCAGCTGCTCGCTACATGCGCGCGAAATTAGTTCACCATGGTTTAACAAGCAATGATAATAACAAGAATGTGTTATTGAAATTTCCTTTACTACAGCACCAATGGCAGATCGTTGAGAGTTTTAGAACACAAATCTCTCAGCGTAGTCGCGAGAGGTTGTTGTTGGATCAAGGTGTGGGGCTTGAGATTTCTGCTTATGCCGATGCTCTTGCTGCTGTTTCAGTTATTGATGAACTCAATCCGGCTCAGGTTTTGAGGCTGTTACTTGATTCGAGAAAGTCTTGTGTTTCTCAGAAATTAGGTAGTTGTAGGGTGGTTAGCGAGGATGTGATAATGGTGTTTTGTGAAGTATTGAAGGTGATCCAGGTTAGTGTAGCACATGTAGGGGAGTTGTTTTTACAGGTTTTGAGTGATATGCCTTTGTTCTATAAGACGGTATTGGGTTCGCCCCCTGCTTCTCAGTTGTTTGGTGGGATACCAAATCCAGATGAAGAAGTGAGGTTGTGGAAATCTTTTAGGGATAAGTTGGAGTCTGTAATGGTAATGCTGGATCGGGATTTCATTGCGAAGGCTTGTTTGGATTTCTTGAAGAGTTGTGGGAAGGAGATTATTAATAGGGTCAATGGGCGGTACTTAATTGACGCAATCGATAGTGGTCAACAGCTTGCTGCAGCTGAGAAGTTGATTAGGGAGACCATGGAAGGGAAGGATGTGTTGGAAGGGAGTTTGGAGTGGCTGAAGAGCGTTTTTGGTTCTGAGATCGAAATGCCTTGGAATAGAACCCGTGAGCTTGTTTTAGGCAATGATGATGATCTTTGGGACGAGATTTTCGAAGAGGCTTTTTCAACCAGGATGAAAGCGATAATTGACTCTGGATTTGATGAGATGAATAATATCGTCAATGTGAAGGAATCAATTCTCACTATTGCGGAGGGTCCTGGGGACCAATTTGATTTCCGTGCTTACTTGAATAGGTCTCCTCTTGGTGGTGGAGTTTGGTTTATGGAGCCAACCAGCAAAAAGGCTGGTCTAATGACTAGTTGTAAAGCATCTTCCGAGGAGAGTGATTACCAGAGCTGTCTAAATGCTTACTTTGGGGATGAAGTTGGTCGAATTAGAATGGCAGTGGACAACCACTGCAGGAATGTTCTTGAGGACCTATTGAGATTCTTAGAGTCGCCAAAAGCCTCTTTACGTTTGAAGGAACTAGCACCATATTTACAAAGCAAGTGTTTTGAAAGCATGTCAACCATACTTGCAGAACTCAAGAATGAAATGGAGTCCTTGTATGCAGCCTTGGGGCATGGAAACAGGGAAGATGATTCTTCACCATCTTCAGCCATAATTGTCGAGAGGTCACTATTCATTGGAAGACTTCTGTTTGCATTCCAGAAGTACTCCAGAAATATTCCTGTTATACTTGGTTCTCCCCGCCTGTGGTTGAATGAACCCATGGCAGCAGTCTCTGGTAAGGTATCACCACTTTTGAGGTATTCTAGCGGAATGTTTGATTCTTTCACTTCTGAAAACCATGGGAAGAAAATGCTTACTTCACCTAGAAGACAATCTTCGCTTACCGCTTCTGCCTTATTTGGAGTCGGTGATAGTTCGAGCCCACAACTTGGTGAACTTAGAAAAACAACACAAGATCTTTGTATTAGAGCTCATAACTTATGGATAACTTGGGTTTCTGACGAACTTTCAGCTATCCTCTCACACAGTCTCAGAAATGACGATAGTTTATCGGCGACCACTCCCTTGAGAGTAAGTGGCTGTTAATAGTTGTTTTTTTGTTGGATTGATCTTGAGACATGTTCTTCCATCACTTTGTTATTAGCACTAAACATGCAAATCTCTAAGTTTCTGGCTCTGAACATATATTCCTGCATAGGTGGTAGCATAACATGTCAAGGGCGAACACATATTCCTCAAGTTAGTTGATCTTTCTGTTAAATAATAAAATTCGATTTTATCACAAATTTTTCTTGATAGATGAATAAATTCTCTGTTTGGACCCATTTTTTACTTTATTTCAAACATTACTATAATAGAAACTTAAGCACAAATCAGTTCCACATTTTATTGATTTATATGGTACCCCTTTTAAGAGATTACATTTAAATTTTGAACATAGAGACTCAGGCTTGTAATTCTAAATATTGTGGAAATGTTTGGAAACTTATTAAGTTGTCATGGATGGTTTGGCATCAGACATTGAGCTTAGTAAAAAGGCACATATGATGATATGAAATTGTCTTACCTTTTGTACATACGTGTAACATGTTTAATGCATCATTATGATACAAATGGAAATCATGTAACTAAACTACTCTAGGTTTCCCACCTGTACTTTGGGTTGTATTCTAGATTTTGACATCTGTTAATTCTTCTGTACTTAAATTGTTACCATGCTATAAGAACTTGACCTTTTAGCAATGAAGCTGTTTGAAAGAGATTAATAGTAAATCAGGCCTCTCTAAGGCAGGGTAAAATTGAGTACCATTGAACAAGAAAGCTATTCCTGGTTTCTGTGTCAAATATATTAGTGGATCACTAAAAACCGCAAGATTTTTTTATGTAGAAAATGCAACAAATTAAGTCAATACTCAACATGATATATCTTTTTATTGTAAATATTTCGTTTTTCTAGATTAGGATATAGTCACATTATATACTTAACATACAAGCTAATTAGTAGCCCTAAAATACAACAAAAATGTATGCATTTAGTGTTTATAACAGCTTATATATTTATCGTCAATATTTGTAAATAATTTTATTATTCTAGATTAGGATATAGTCTCATTATGTACTTAACATACAAGCTAATTAGTAGCCCTAAAATACAACAAAAATGCATGTTATTAGCCTATAAAACAACTTATATATATAGGTGAAGGTTCAAATAAGAAAGGGAAAACGGTTGAGAATGTACGATTAAATGATTCATTTGTGAATCATTGTTGATTGTACTTGCTTCGGTACAATTCTCCCCCATTATCTGGTGTTCCTATGAACATTGCATTCCATGTAATTGTATCGAAGCAAGTACAGTTACCCATATATTTTTCTATTAGTAGTGAAATTATAGATATAAAATTTGATCAGATTCTCAGTAATTTAACCTTTTGTCACTCCTCTTCTGGAAAAATCCAAAATGGAAGCTGGATTCTTGAAGTGAAATGGAGTTACTAAATACTACATAGATAACGCACTCACCCAAAATTGTCCTCAAATTTGTGGGAATCTCTTAAGGAGTAGCTAATGTATGTTCTATATCAGCCTTTTTTTCTGTTCTATCCTAGACTGTCTACACCCTTTTTGTCCCTGACCTGAGCAGTAAAAAGCTTATTCTGTTAATTTTTCTTTATCTATCGAAAACGAACGGTTTCTAGCTGACTGATGCTGACATATGCTTTTTAATTGTGTAACCTAAATTACTTTTCTGTATGCTGGGCAGGGCTGGGAGGAGACAATAGTCAAACACGAGGACTCTGCTGAGGACTCATCAGAGATGAAGATATCACTTCCTTCCATGCCATCCTTGTATATCACCTCATATTTGTTTCAAGCTTGTGAAGAAATTCACCGAGTTGGGGGTCATGTACTTGACAAACCTATTCTGCAAAATTTTGCTGCAAGATTATTGGAAAAGGTTTTTATGCGCTGGCTTATATTTCAATCTTGTTGTTCACAGAATGCTATCTGATTGTGTTTCTGGACAGAAGTTTCATAATCTTCTTGTATACTGATGTAGGTGATCGATATTTATGTGGATTTCCTCTTCAATGATGAGGCTAGTGCAACCCGTGTTTCTGAAAAAGGAGTTCTGCAAGTCTTATTGGATCTAAGATTTGCTGCTGACATTCTATCCGGGGGTGATTTAAGTGGAAATGAAGATATATCAAAAACATCAAAAACATCAAAAACAAAAACCGCGTACAGGCGGAAGCAAGATGCGCAACAAGCAAAGTCGGTTATGAGAGATCGCCTTGATGGGTTGGTTAATCGCCTCTCACAGAGGCTAGACCCGATAGACTGGCTCACGTATGCTTTCACTTGGCTCTTCTATTTTTGGATAAGATTCGCTGGTTGTAATCTGTGGTTCGGTTTTTTTTAGTTGAATTGATTTAACTCCCAAGAACTGAAAAGCACTCCATTTTACACTGCATTTTTGAAATATAATTTGGTCATCATCTTTAGCGGGTTTTTTCTTGTGTAGGTATGAGCCATACCTTATGGAGAACGAGAAGCAGTCTTACCTTCGACATGCAGTCCTATTTGGTTTCTTTGTGCAGCTTCATCGGATGTACACAGATACAATGCAAAAATTGCCTACAAATTCGGAATCAAATATAATGAGATGCTCTACAGTTCCTCGTTTCAAGTACCTTCCCATCAGGTTGATCTTACAGTTACTTGAACAAGTGTTTGTTTATCATTGTTACGATACTTTCTACACTTCCTGAAATATGGGTATATTCATCATGATGACATGTTACATTGCTGATGTGTCATCATCCTATGAGCTGTTTGCGTGCACATTTTATCCATGGATGTTTTTCCAATGGTTGGACTCAAAATGGCTTTAAGGGTGTGTTTGGTATGCGGACAAGACTGGACCTGACTGGCCAGGGGTGAAAGAATTGTGGAAGGTTTTAGGGTTTTAATTTGGCATGGGTAGTTTAGTAGTTTACCTATTTTGGTGGGACAAAATAAATGCATTTTGTCTCACTTAGGGCCTGTTTGTTAGCAGCTTAATGAGCTTAATAGGAGACACAAATTATTCGGTCAGCTATACATGATTGTTTGGTAGCGGCTCAATGATATAGAAAGTGGCTTATTTAGTAAGCTTCTTTTTTGGGGGAGGGGGGGGGGGTTTATGCAGAAAGCCAAGTTTTTTCCAAACCTGCCCCTCCTAATTAAAAAAACCACCCAAAACAAAAACCCCTTCCATATATGAAAAAACCACCCTAACAAAAACCTTGTCAATCTATACAGACAGATTAATCCACACTGACAACTTTATCCATACATGACTTGATGGAAAACCATCCAAACGTCCAGTCGTGTGTATCAAATGCATCCTAATAGGCATTTTCTCTAGTTTGTATTGCATGGCATTGCAAATAAGTTGATTGATTATCAGTCATGAATGGATTCTATTAATGGAAGCTGCAGTAATTGGGTTATTGACGTTGCTTTGATTTGCAGCGCTCCTGTATTATCTGCTAAGGGGACAAGTAAGTCCCCGATATCAACGTCGATGGATGATGTTTCTTCAAGGAATTCTTGGAGAAATTACACCAATGAGGAGCTATCACGCAATATCGATATGGATGACAATACTAGTTTTGGAGTGGCAGCACCTTTACTCAAGTCTTTCATGCAGGTAATTTTTTTTATTCTTACTCAAGTGTTTTGAGTGGCTTATTTAGCTAAATAACCTCCTGACGAGTGCCCGTTTAAATTCATGACTTTTTTGACAAGTTTCTCGGCATTCCTGTGTATGGAAGCAGTATTCTTTTGTTAAGAAGGTCATGGATTTAAAAAAACTTGTCAGAAGGTCGTTTAGGCTATGTTTGGCAAACTAGTTAATAAGTTAGCTGATGCTGATAAGCTAGCTGAAGAACTGATCATGTTTGACAAAAATTAGCTGATAAACTAGTTGTGAAATGTAAAACGACAAAAAAGGACGTGTTAAAAAATTAATAAACTCAAACATATCATAATATAATTAAAGCAAATCACTAATAATATATGTTAATTAATAAAAATTTAATTTTGATTGATAATTTTAATAGGGGCCTTCTTCTGAGAACCCATAAAATTGTGATAACCTTGAGAACTGGTGCATCATGTGCTATTTTACATGATTTTTCTCCATCTATGGCTTGAATTTAGTGTATTGATTAACATGTTCACATTGTGAAACAAATATATGTTGACCAATATATTAAATTCTAGCCTTGGATTACGACCTAATCAAAGGTAAAATTGGAAGAAAGTGGCAAAAAACCCGAGCTTATTGAAATGCTACTCCAACTCTCCAAGTAGTGTTTCAATAATGGCCATCCAAACGGGCCTTAATAAGCTCAAAAAATAAGTTACTCTATGGTTGCCAAACATGGTCTTAACGAAATGACCCGTTTTGAGTTTATGTTCATGGGAAATCAGAATGCTCCAAATTTTGCAACGACATTTATGTATCAAACATCTTTCGGAGAATACCAGCAAGTGGACTTCCCATGAAACATAAACTTTTCTAAACACAGGAACATCGACCACTGGAAGTTTCTAAAACAGGAAACTTACGAAATAAAAATCCCATTTGATGTTTGTTTCACGAACTTTTATCCACAACTTGATGTGTGGTACAAATGTCAGGTTGGGAGCAGGTTTGGGGAGAGCACAATGAAACTAGGATCCATGCTAACAGAAGGACAAGTAAGCAGGTTTGGAGACATTTTACCTGCCCAAGCAGCTGGACTTCTTTCGTCATTTACAGCCGGACGATCAGACTACTGATTTCGTTTGTCCAAACACCATTCATCATGATCAGTATGTTTTTTTCTATTCCAAAACGGCTGGCAAACGTGGGTAATCGGGTGCCAACTTAAGGCGACAATATGCCCACAAGACCCCTGCGCTCAAAGGGATGTGAACGAGCATTTGTTGGCCATAAAACGTGCAATTTTCGGGCAAACTTGTGAAGACGGTGGCTATTGTTGGATTGGATTATAGGGGTTAAGTTTGTGTGTTTGTGAATGTAAATTTTGATTTTGCTGGTTGTGTAAACGAGTGAAGTTATGACGATGATGATAATAATAATTCATGTGTTTTTTTAAAGTTTATTTAGGAAGAAAAGAAGTGAGGAGAGAGGGAAAGGGTAAATGTAGAAGAGAAGAGATTATTTGTATACTTACTTTTTATAGTAATATCTTGGTTTCATTGTTTTGGTTCCTTCTTTGTTGGCTGAAATTATGATGGTATTATGTCTATTTTTCACTTCAGTTTTAATTAATACATTTGTTTAAGGGTTAAGGGGGAGTTGAGTAAGTTTTAACCGAGTAAGAGTCATTGATTGGGTAAGCATCTATCTCTCTTGGGGTCGGACTGTTGGGTAGTGGTTTAATGATGTAAACATGTGCTTTATTTTTAAGGGGAGCTTTATGCAGAAAGCCAAGTGTTTTTTAAATCTGTCTCTCACAATTAACAAAAAAACATATCTTTCTATCTATGAAAAAACACTTTCAAACAAAAACATTCTTAGTCTATATAGCCCCTTGTAAACAATTAGGAAACAATAACTAAGGGGTATTTTACCAAAAGCTTACCTGGTCAACATGACAATGACATAAAATTTTACTCTGTAAGAGGTCAAGGACTAAGAATCTTATTTGGTGATTGAGGGAGGTGACTCTTACGTCATTAATGCTTATCGGGAAGATTGTTGCCTGCTATCTCATTTTGATGGCCAATAATCTTACCCAATAAGGTAAGTAAATGTGATAGCTCTTACCGGTAAATGTTTGGTAAACGACCTCTAAGTTGTACCAAAGTAGTATGGACCAAAAACTGTCACCACTATAGGTAGGGGTGCTCAAAACCCCGACCAACCCGATCCAGCCGATCAACCCAACCCAACCCAACACGAAATAACTCAATCCGAAGCAACCCGATGCCTAATCGAGTTGTAAAATTGTCAAACCGTAGGTATTGGGTTACTATTATTTGAACCTAACCCAACCCGATGAACCCGACATCCTTTTATTTCTTGGATTTAATATGATTGTTGAATTTCTATTAATATGTACATTAGACAATTACACTATTATGTATGCTCTTCATACACACATATTTTCAATCTATTCACATCTTTATATAACTCATTCATATATATGTTCAGTAACTGTGAACATATATATGTAAATTGAGAAAATTAACTGAATGTGATATACGTAAGAAGTATGAATAAGTTATATCAAATGGTTCGGGTTGGGTTGGGTTAAGATTTTTCAAACCACAAACATTGGATTGGGTTGTTCAAATGTCTCCAACCCAATCAACCCAATCCACGATCACCCCTAACTGTAGGGTTTAGATATAATTTTGTAACCTAAAAATGAAGCGGAAAATAATTTAGTTACATTATTTATAAAACTATTATAAAATTAAAATCCTTCGCCAAATTCAATGATTAAAATCTAAACAAACTGATACGGTGTAGAGAGTTTAAGTTTCATATTTTACGAGGGTTATGACGGAACATCTTAGAAATCAAAGTAGATTTCCTCTACGTTGATCCACACATGAACTCGCTTTTATCTTCTACCGTACTGGGGGTTAACCCAAAACACCCCTAATTCTAAAATGTGTGTTTTTTCACTAGTTTTATCTGATAGCTAAAATTGAAAAGACTGAATCAACAAAAATTTAGGTTTATCACCTTATTTATAGGTTGATTGAATTATAGATAGATATATCTCTAAGGTTTTATAATTACCCGTAAATATATTTATTCTAACATAAATATCTATATTTACACATTAAATCGCTTAATTATCATAATTACATTTTAAATTACATTTTAACACATATTTATAATTATTCTATAAAAATAAGCATTTTAATAGAAACGTACGTATTCTTTATGTACGACCCTTATAGATTTACATACTCATTAGCAGTATTTTTATACGAACCTTGTCATGGACATATAATAACTTATAATAATGATTGATTCCACAAGTTAAATGGTTAGCAAGAAGTTGATTAATGTTCAAGGGTCATCATTGTGGTATGGAAAACGTTATTTGAATGGTTAAATGGTGAAAAGTGAAAATTATGAGATAGTTTAGGGACTATTTTTGTAATTTTCTATTAATACATGGCGGTTATATTGTAGCTTATTCAACTTTATCGAATACCATTCCCAAGTACCAACCCGGTCCGACGATCTTCTTCCGCACCGACGGCGAACTCCCATATCGGAGAGGTGAATCCCACGGCGAGTTTTTACAGTACGTAAATCATCTTTCCTTATACCTACTTTTCATCTATGCTCTAATTTCTACTATGAGTAGGAACATATGATTCCTTATAAGCATTTGTTCTTGATGTTAGGGTTCCATCGAATCAAAACCTACAATCATTTGATTAGATTCACGATTCCGTGGATCTTCCTTAGGGTTTGATGCAATTACGTGTGTATCCATTCACAATACTGACAATTTTGATCATCCTCTTGTCCGTTTGGATTTGATTGTATGATATGATAACTTATCAACTATTGGTTTTTCATATTGTTAGTTCATTGTACTTAGTTTGATGTTATGGAAGTTCTCTACTGAATTAATTTGGTTTTACAAGATTGAGTGTGGCATGGACTTGATTTCAGCATTGCTGTGTTGCTTTATGCATTTATTTATTGTCTCAATAAATCTGATCAAAAGGTTATCAAAGTAGTAGGTTATGCCTAAAATTTACCTTAGGAAAGTGTATGAAAGCCATTGTACTAATTCAATAAACAGGCAGAATTGACACTCCCCTTGGTTCAACATCAAGTGTATGCATGCCTTTTATTGGTTACAAATGTTTTGTATTCTGTGTCAACCAACTCAGACTATTCAGTGATTCATGTGTATCTTGAAAGGGTACTCAGAGGTCAAGACTAATTTGTGTATGAATTATATGGTTGCCATCATAAAGGTGTTTGATTGGGTCACATCTTGTCACAATATTAACTGTGAAGGGTTTAATATCGTCTTGAGTTATTGAGTCGCATCATACACTTTTCTGTGGTAATTTTTAGACATAACCTACTATTTTGATAACCTTTTGATTAGAGTTATGAGACAACAAATAAATATGTCAAGCAACACTGCAATTCTGAAGTCAAGTCCATGCCACACTCAGTCTTGTAAAACCCAAAACTAAGTAAGTAGAGAACTTACATAATATCAAACTTTTCAGAATTTTTTTTGTCACAATATTAACTGTGAAGGATTTAATATTACCAAATGCTGTCAACCTTGGCAAAACGTTGTAATAGCTATTGTGAAATATTGATTATTTATATTATCTGCATATGAAATAGAGTACGTGGTTTTTTAATCTGTTTTTGTTTCCTCATTCTTCATCCTTTGAGTTTAGATCGTTGAAAAAGGGAAGAAGTCTATATTGTGAAGCTGAGATGGGAGATATGGATCCTAACTCTTTGAGATGCCGGCATTGTGCAGGTCCCCTCACCAAGGAGATGGTAACTTCTATTACGAACTAACCTTATTCTACAACTCCTTGCCATAATTTTTTACATATTTAATACATTGAAAAGTTGGCCCAAATACGGTTTATGTAAGGGAGGACTCTCCGTCGTAGTATAAAAAATTATAGGGTCATGAAAGGTGCCACCGTATCATTTTGTTCTGTACAACCGTATATATTTTGAAACTGCAATGGTGACACAAGTTTCCCTTGGTAGAGTTGATTTGCATGGCTTTTCTCCCACCCCAGATGCGGGTTCGAATCCCATTTGTGTCATTTTCCTTAGTTTTTAGCTTTTAATTTCAGATGTATTATGTTTCTGAATTTTTTTGCAATAAGAGACTTGAACACAGGACCTCAATATGAAAAGCAAAGAACTAATCAATAGACCAATGATAATTTTATGAAAAATATCCATATCTTTGCTTCTTATAGTCAAATGGTGCCCAAACTTGGAAATTTTCTAGGTCTGCCTCTGGCATTATGTATTGGGAGCCTGATTTAGCGTGTACACCGGAAATTAATTTAGTTGTTCCAAACGGTAGCACTCTGGAATATCCTATTATAAACGTGATTGCACTGATTTGTTTCTGAAGTACTACCGGATTGACATGATATAATAAGAATAATCACGATGATCATGTATGTAGGCAAATTGTTGAACTGCATAATCACTATGATTTTCTGTTTGTCATCTTTTATTGTGTGTCTGTACTTCGTTATATGTTTGTGATTGATGGCAGGAAACCTGTGCTTGGACTGTTGGACCCCTTATCAGAGATAGTTTTTCTATGGTACTGTCTTTTCTCTCCTCTCCTCTCCCTCCTAAATGAAACACCTCCCCCACTAAGAAAGAGAACAAGGAAAAAGAGGAAAATGATCTATTTGATATTTGTTGGAGTCCCACGACGGCTGAATTTGGACCATTCTTCTGAACAAATGTTGGAACCTCCCTTCTCTCCCCAAGGGCTATTCAGGAGAGTAATCTAATGGGTTTCACATATTCTTACATGCTATCAAAGCCAAGGTCTACGTCTTGGACATCTTTAGACTTGACACTCTCGGACATTTGTGCCCGTCTACCCTTCGTTGGAGGGGCGTGTTGGAGTCCAGCATCAGCTAGACTTGGACCATTTCTTCTTGATATATGCTTGAACCTCCCTTTGCTCCTCAAGGGTCTTTTGAAGAGTAATCCAATGAGTTCCACATATCATGTTTTCATTTACACAAACGAACTTTCATATTGTTTGTATTGTGTTTGGAAAATTTATATCACAGGGCAGAAACATCCATTTGTACTTCAATTTTTTTCCTTTTATATCAGTATAAAATGTCCTTGGTTCATTTCTCTTGTTGACATCTCAGATTGGTTCTGCTGTTGGTGGTGTGTCGAGTGCATTCTATGGATTCAATCTAGGTATGTTTCAGCAGTGTTTTTCAGTTCCTACTCTTCTTGATTAATTATAGTTCAATTGTAACTTGTTCTAGTTTTCTTATCTTCCATCTATAGTAGTTTTTTTAAGTATATAATATTTATATACAGCAAAACTCGCACACACTCTTCCTCCTTGGTGAGGCTTGAACCCTTGACTTCTAGGGAGTTTGATCTACCTGTAACTCGGATACCGTTGGACCAATGACCCTTTGGTGCATTGGTAGTTGTCTTCTACTTTCTTTTGCGTTTCAAGCACTAGTTCCTTTAGGGTGCGTTTGGTACACCGGACAAGACAGAACAGAACAAGGATCACTATTCCATGTTTGGCAGGACTTTTTATGTAGAACAGACAAGAAGAGAGTGGAACAGGCGTGTTCAACCTCTACCCCATGGAACAAGGTGGAACATACCTATATTTTACCAATATAAAAACCTAATTCTCTTCTAAAACATCAAATACGCCTCTCTTTACATTTTATTCATTTTTTAAATTTTATTTATCATATTTTATGCTCTTTAAACATTCATTTTACAATCCTCAAAAAAATATTTTCATACAGTTTCTATATTTTGATTAATTTATGTAATTTCTTAAATATTAATAATGATAATAAAATAATATAGAAAAGGTATAAAATATAAAATTGGAAACTACATAAACTTTTAGTTTGGTATCATTTTAATCGTTTTGACGAAAACTTTCTTATGATATATTTTGTTATAAAAAATATTTATTTTATTATAATTTAATAAATTACATAAACTAATCAAAATATATAACTTATATAAACAACTCATTAGGGGTAAATTAGTTATTTTATCTGTTCTGTCCAGCTCCTTAGGGGTAAACGTTGAACAACTGTTCTATCCTATTCTGTTCATTCCTGTTTTGCCTATCCTGTCTGGATACCAAATGCACCCTGCCCTTGGTAATACTTATGCATGTGTTCTGCTAGGAAATTGAACTGTAAGGTGGTAAAAACTCGCCAGATCAAACATTTTTTCATCATTGTTTTCTTTCTTGTAGTGATGCCAGTTGTTCAAAGGCGGGTGAAGGGACCTATGTGGTTGCATTTCCTGATTGGGGTAAGTTTCCTACTACCATCATCGTTAATTTGGTAATTCTTAAAACAAGGGTTTCAGATTTGACATGCATAGTTTAGTAATTTACCAATCTTGTCCCATTTCGTTAATTATGGTCCCACCTATTTTGGGCATTTGGTGGACAAAAATGCATTTTTGTCCCACTCTAATCCTGTCATGTCCCAGTATAATGTCGCACCAAACGTGAATAGTCCTGTCCCACGTACCAAATGCACACCCTTCTAAGTCTAGCATCACATCGATGTCATTGAGCCGTTAAGCATGTATAGTTTTATATTTCATTCTCACTGGTATATTCTGGCACGAAGCCTTAAATCTGTCATTCCGCGATCATCTTTTGTTCATGTCTATCTTCAATTCATTTCTCTCGTTGCTGAATCTTGATGCAGGCCCCGCCCGTGATAGTGTTTTCATCGGCTTGTGCAGGATTGGCAGGTTTGTTTCATATAAAGATACATTTCCATAAGCCTATTTTCTTGACATCTATCGCTTCCTTATCTTAAAATCATTTTGGTTTTAATGGGTGCTATCATATTTAGGGTTTGTTTGGTTGGTTTTTCATCAAGTCCTACAAGGATAAAAATGTCCGTGTAGACTGTAGATTTGGGAAGGTTTTTGTTTGGGAGAGTTTTTCCATAGATAGAAGAGCATGCTTTTTGATTGAGAGGGGCAGGTTTGGAAAAAACTTGGCTTTCTACATAAAAAACTCCCTTGAAAGCTTACTGAATAAGCCACATTTTATAGTATTAAGTCACTATCAAACAGTCATGTATAGCTAACCGAATAGGCTGTAAGGGGCTGTTTGACAATTGGTAAATGGTTTGGTGCAGAATGATTAAGTGGCCAAAATGATTAAGAGGCTCTCATGATATAATGCAAAATGAAATATAATTATTTGGTAATTGTGTACAATGAAATTAGGGCTCTTAATGGTTAAGGGAGATCCAGGATACAAAATCATTCAGAGGGTTTTAGAACTATTAAGAGGCAGACTTTTTTTTTTGCCAAACAAGATTCACCTCTTAACGATTCAGAAGTTGCCTCTTAATTGAACTATTAAGAGGTAAACAAACAACCCCCAAGTCCCATTAAGCTTATTAAGTTGTTAACTAACAGATTCTTATTCTTACTCCATCTGCTAGTTGATGTGTATGATTAAATAACTTAATGTATGGTTGTGAAACTAGGAATATTCTTCCGTGGTCCCGAATTAAAGTGTTCACATTTCTATTTTACCTTGTTCGAAAATAAGTGCCCACTTTCAAAAAAAATGCCCACTTTCCAATTCCGCCTTTGATTTTGAGACAAAGAAATTCATTACTCCCTCTATTTTTGTGGGTACAATTATAATTTAGATTATCAAAGAGTGTAACAACTACACATTTAAAAACTATATGCCTTTTTCATCGTGAACATTTATTTTGGGAAAGAGGGGTAACCGGGAAAATTGTCCCGAGCATTTGTTATGTTTTCGGGTCCATATGCTTTTGTGTTACTCTTTCTATATCATATGCAAATGCATTATGCAGGATGGAGAATTTTGATTGATAATACCATTATTTGGGGATTCTCCTAAATCATAGGGTGGGTCTCCTCTACTCGCTTTCCCGGCTAACTCCGTGCCAGCAGCCGCAGTAAGACGGGATTTTAGAATGAATGCTGGGCTGGGCCACCTCGAATGGCGTGAGCCCCTTGCGGGGAGACCCACACGTACAGTTTTTAGTGGGATGTGGTCGATGCAAATCCGTTCAACATGCATTAATTTTCACCAATTTTTTCTTCAGTTCTTAACTATTTTTGGTTCTAATCGTCTTTGATTATGGTCTCGAATGGATGAAAACTTTGTAGGCGGTGCAATCCCAGCGCTAGCTCAACTTGCGTCCTCGTCTTATCACGCAGCAGTCTCGTCTCCTCCGTCATTATCTGCAGCACCCCCTCGGGATGACGATATCAACAAATCGAAGAGTTCGTCCACTATATAGCAAAACGACGACGATGCTTCTATTATTGTTCTTGACCGTGGATTTAACGCTATTTATGGCATCAAATGGTCTTTAAGGTCATGAATTATCGAGTTAAGTGGATCTGGACTGTTTGTACATGATTCAAATTTCTAACATACTAGTATTGCACAAGCATGAGGTATGTTTGAAAATTGATGTGAAATCACTCTCTGTTTGGTTTGGTTTGGTTTTTCATCAAGTCATGTATGGATAAAATTGTCAGTGTGGATTAATCTGTCTATATAAATTGAGAAAGTTTTTGTTTATGAGGGTCTTTTAATAGATGGAATGAGTTTTTAATTATGAGAGACAGATTAATCCTTTTTGCATAAAGCTCCTCCCTAATACATGTATTGTTAATGTATTGTTTTATAGATGCAACAACATTGATATGAAAGTAGAGTAACAAAAACTTTTATTGTTTTATCTAAGAACCGATAATTTGTTTAAAACAGTCACATATTAAAAAGTTAATGTGTTGTTTCATGAGTAAAATAAGACTGGTATGAAATTAGGGCAACAAAAACAATTATTCTTTCATATGAGACCAATAATTGGTTTGATTTCATATAGGAAACAACACTGTTAGAAATGAATATATCTAGATTTGGGGTGATGAAATCGGTTATGGCAATCGAATAAGATTTTTATGGAAAAGATTATTCCTAAAATAAATATGTTAAATATGGTATCATATGAGATAATAAGGAAGAATATTAACCCGAAAATATGAATTAGTAAAAAAGATAAAAATGCCCTTGCTTGTAAGGTTTGTAATATTTATACGGTTTGGACTTTATAACTGGTCTTTAACAATCGATGCATTAAACTGTCCAAGTTCAAAATATTATAATTGGTCGAACTTCTAATAACTAAAATCAAGTCTTTTGTAACCGGATCTTAACTAGTTTGGTTGACATAACCCAATAATTTCACACCTCATACTGATTATTTCATTACGTCCTTCTAGGGGTGCTCATGAGTTGGATTGATCGGGTTGAAAACATTTGAACAGCCCAATCTAATGTTTGCGATTTAATTTTTTTTAGCTCAATCCAACCCAAACCAAAGTGCAAACCCAAATAGTACGGATTGGTCGGGTTGATACTTTGGTACATTAAAATATTATTCTAACCTTGAATATTTTTTTCTTTATTCATAATTTATTTTTCAGCGTCAACCATTCGATACAACTTATCCATACTTCTTACGTATAAAAAGATCGGATTGGGTTGAATTCAAATAATAGTAACCCAATGTCAACTCAATACCTATGATTTGAAAATTTTACAACTCGATTAAAAATCAGGTTACTTCAGATTAAATTATTTCACGTTGGATTAGATGGGTTTGTCAAGTTTTTTACCACCCCTACCTCCTTCCTCCAAGCTTTTGTGTTGGGTCTTGATCACCAAAACTTTTAAACGTTTAGTGAAAGAAAAAAACACTATGACTCTTGACTGAGGGTGTTATTTGTTATTTCTTCCAAGTAGAGGGTAGTATGTGAAAATTTGGTAGGCATAGCATCAGTGTACGTGTATAAAACGAGACCAAAACCCTAACGATAGGGTTTAACACTACTTGATCTTATCTGAGCGGTACTCAAAAGGGACTACGGCGGCGGCGATGATGGTTGTCGTGGCGGAGCAAGCCGGATATAGCTACCCATCCACGACATCTTCTGGTGTTTGATGGTTGCCGGAGGCTCCGTTTTGATCTTCCCGTTTGCCTCATCGCTATTCTCCTCCGTAATCCCCTCAGGTCACCGCGATGAAGACTGCCCGCTTCCAGAGCCCTAAATGTGATTATTAATCCGGCGATGATGGCCGCGCGGGCTTACCAATCCTCTTAATTAAGTTTTTATATGTTAGATTGAAGTATGCATTCGTTTTTCTGTGATTAACTGGCTGAAATGATTCATTTGAATCTCATGCTTGCTACTATATTTTTCAAATTAGTTCTTATTTTTTGTTTGGTAAATTAGGGTTTTATTTGCAGCTGAGTTCGTAATGATAGATTGATATTTTTGAATATGAATCTCATGCTTGCTATACTTTATATTTTTCAAATTAATCGTTACTTTTTTGGTAAATTAGGGTTTTCTCCGTAGTTGAATTCGAAATGGTAGATTTAAAATTCTTTGGATCTAACTCTGGGTAGAAAGTTGATCCTTTGATTATTAGGAACTCGTTGTAATCGCATCATGTATTGATGCATCTACGACATGTTCTTGCCATTTATGTGTTTGAAATTCGTATACACACACACACGTAAAATTGTATACAATCTACCATGGAATGGCTTTCATTTCCTTAAACATATTGACGACACCTTACAACTGAGGTGTAGTGATCTTAATTTCTTGTGCATTTTCGATTTTGAATATTTTCGTAAGTATGGTTTTTGGCTGTTCAGTATAGAGGAAAGTCTGTTAGTGTTATGGTATATTTGTTATTGAAGTCGTATTGCAGGTGTTTGTGGGATGATGAATTATGTTGAATTTGATCCAGAGATGCTTGTTATTGGTTCATGGTTGATGGAATAGAGGTAAGTTTTCGAAATCCCAACAATGGTGGATCTTCAGTGGTATGTTGAGTATCCTTCAATGATATAATAAAATTGCTTCAACAATTGACAAATATTAGAGGGCCTTTTATCTAATGCTTGGTAAGCGATTACCCTGGGGTTGTTTGTTTACTCCTTAATAGTTTCATTAAGAGGCAACATCTGAATTGTTAAGAGATGAATCTTGTTTGGCAAGAAAATAGTCTGTCTCTTAATGATTCCAAAACCCTCTAAAATATTTGTATCCTGAATCTCATTTAACCATTTAGAGTCATAATTTCATTGTACATAATTACCAAACAATTATATTTTATTTTGCACGATATCATGAGAGCCTCTTAATCATTCTGCTCCAAACCATTGAGCAATTGCCAAACAACCCCCAAGACCCTTACGCATTAAGCTCTTATCCAGTAAGAGATGAGGCATCGAATGGCGAAGAGAGGCAGCTTGGCAGGGAAGGAATGGGAAGTCGTCAAAGATGACTTCTTTGTTATTGAAACGAAATGGCTAAACAGCACCAGTGATTCTCTGAGCCGGTCTGGATTTCCAACGCCTCGGGGAACTGGTCGAGATAGATGACAGCGCCTTTTTCCCCGCTTCCTTACCGGGAGGGCAATCTTCTCTTATGGCCTTCACCTCCCGTCCGGCCCGGAAATAGAGAATTCAGCCCCCTTCTCATCCATTAATTGCTTACAAACAATCCATTTTGATGGTCGTAGCGGTTACCGAACAAAGGTAATTGGGGATGACGACTCTTGTGGTAAGCACTTGCTCGATAAGCATTTTAATAAACGGCCATGATTCATTGGCTTTTGAATTGAAATTGTAGTGCTGCTGATGGCTATACATCATGGTTTTGATTACATGAAATTTACATCCGGCCGATATAGGTCTAAACAAACGAAGATCAACCAAAAGTACATTGTTTATCAAATTTTTTATTAAGTTTTGTATGGATAAATTTGTCTGTCTAGATAAATGAGGGTTTTTGTTTATTTTTTTTATCTGAACTAACAGTCTGAATGACATAAATAGCTGATTTATCCTCCAATATTAATTATTTGAACATCAAAACAAAAAATCATGAAGAGGCCGACGATGAGGTGTCTCATATGGGAAGGAGGCGGACATGCGGTGCTTTAAATAAGGGGTAGGGGTGTCATTTTTGTGGCTGAACGGGGATAACACATCATTTCTATCTGTACGATTATGTCATGTTCTGTGCAAATAAGCCGTAAGTAAACAACCCAAATGAGTTGTGTGAATAAGCCAGATAGACCAATAAGCCTAATTAAACTGCAAGTAAATTCTGAACCCAAACATTTTTAAACGACCATCCAACTTAAAAATATAAGACAATAGAATTAGGACCCAGTCTTTTAGGTTTTTTATGTGTAATAACGTGATTTGATATGGTTGATTAATTACTCCAATCATTGGTTGTCATTCGACTTGGTCTTTGTAAGATCGTTGATTGTTTCTATCATTCGTTTATTTTCTTTATATCTTTTAATACTTGTTTTTTCAGATCACAAAAAGCACAAGATTAAAGGGTTTGATAGTATACATGTCGGTTATCATTTATGCTTTTTGCATACGTTGTCAATATTTTAATTCTTGTATTTATGTCTACTGTGTTTTTTATTTATTAACCTGGATATCCAACCCGTTATTCGAGTCGACTAATCTCAAGATGACTATTTGCTTTGCGGGTAACACAAAGTCACTGTATTTGAATCTTTACAGGCACAAAGAGATTTTTATTCCTCTTTGAATTTAAAACTGGTACCTCTAGACACTTTTGATCTTTGAAGTCAAAATCAAATCAATCAAACACCATCCTTGTGTTGTTTATTTATTCATGGGATTTAAATGTCTTGTAATTTTGATCTTGATGATCAAAATTTCAAGTTCAAGAAATTAATAGGAAAAAAATGCAATTTCAATGTTAATTAAATAAATAAATGCTAAAGAGTAATATGGTTTTAAAGTATTTTTTTTCTTATGGATTTATTTTTTAATACTAAAAAATAGTTATAATTCTTTTAAATTTTAGACATATGGGGTGTTTAGGATTGTTTATTTGAAACAACTTATGTTTTTCTACAAAAATATTTATCAATTTATTATAAGTCAGAAGAATTTAACTTTTTCAAAAACTTTTTATTACCGTTATAAGTTGTTTATCCAAACACTCAAAAGTGTTTATTACCGGTGTCACACCGGAATAAGTCAATAAGTTGTTTTTATAAACAATCCCAAACACCCCATAATCAACTTTTTTTAAAAATTTGTAGTTAAAGCATACAACAAAATTCAAAAATCAACCATTAATGTTAAACTTTTTATGAAAATTCTCTGCCAATCCCCTAAAATTGAGTTTTAGGTGGCGTTTGTTTTTTAAGGGGTGCTTAAGTCTGAAGTCTGAATTCACTTCTGAATTTTAAGAGGTGGTGCTGAAGTCTGAAATCTGAATCAGTCGGACTGTTTGTTTTTACGTCTTAAATCTGAAATCTGAATCATTGAAATCTAGGCTTTCTTTGCAAGCATTAGAAGCTCTAAAAGCAATTAAGAGGTTTTAAGTGAAAATGTTACCTCTAAATAATTTAGACATAATCAGAGCTTTTAAGCTCTTAATTGAAAAAAAAAAAAACACACTTAATACTCGAAGGTCTGACCGATTCAGACATAATAGGGTATTAAGTGTTTTTTAGGTAAAAACAAACAGGGCCTTAGACAATAATCTTTAA